TGCAGGGTGACAACATGACCTAGAAAATCCTGTGTCCTGGGTATACTGGTCTGTCTCCTGACCCTGGAGGGATCTCACCACCAAAGGCATCTGGTAGGACACAACCCCTCAAACTGCTCTGTCATACAGCATGAGAACCCAGGAAATAGCATTTCATGATTTGTTTTGACTGGAAACTCTAGCCTAAGTGGTCAAGGCTCTGAGAGACACATCAGCCCTCACCGCCAAAAGTACGTGCCCAGCTGATCCATCCCTTCCAGCATCAGATCTTGGAAACTGCAAGGACAGCACCCTGTGCCCAGCACCAAGAGATCAGCAGAAGAAACTTCCTAGACCCCAGTTCAAGGCTGTAGCTGCTGCACATGGAACTGGTACCAGGTAATGGAGACCACGCAGGAAGAGGGGTCCCTGGCCCTCTCACTTATGAACTCTTTCAGATATATTTGCCTCTCAAATGAAGTCCATCACCATAGAAGATGTAGTGCTCCTTCACTGGCAGCTTGTAAATGTATATGACATCCCTGCCCCAAATGTACATAAGCGGAGAAAATGGGCCTGTGGGGTCTTGTTCCAGACTCGGGAGCAGAGCTGCTGGAGAATGCTGGCAGAGGCAAAGAGTATAGTGAGTGCTACAGGGCTCAGGATGCATACCTAAGCCACGGTGGCTGGTGATGTTAGCGTCTGGAGAATACTTCAGAGCTATGTATTGTCCTTGGGTACCACAGTGCCCAGAGCTGCCCTGTAAGAGTGGAGGCATCTGGGTCATTGGACTGAGTCAGCCATCATTTTCAGAACATGATTGACAAGTCTGTATCTTAGCTAAGTAGACATAAGCTTATGCTAGCTCTGTGTGTGTGTGTGAGAGAGAGAGAGAGAGAGAGAGAGAGAGAGAGAGAGAGAGAGTGAGAGAGAGAGAGAGAGAGAGAGATGGTCAGAGGACAACTTGCAGAAATCTGTTCCCTCCTTCCACCATGTGGGCCCCAGGGAACTCAGTGTTCAGATTTGACATGTTCTTTGAATTCATCCAGGGTCAGCTTGAACTGACACAGCCAGTGGATTTCCTAGAACACAAGAAAAGGGAATGACATTTGTCCCTTCCTTCCCTGTTTTCATCCACAGGGCCTAACATAGGGTGAGCCTAACCCTTCACCTGATGCTTGAATCAGTGGCTATAGTCACAGAATTACACCATGCCATGAACCCTGTGATCCCCTCCAAGTGTGTTCCATGTCCACCAGGAGAAGAGAGGAAGACAAAGGCTGGGCCAGAGCTATAACCCATGCATTCTCTGAGTGCAGGTGTGTGTCTCTAGCAAGCAGAAACAGCTGGTCCCATAAAAGTGGTGAATATCAAATGGTCAGAGAGAACATTTCCCAGGCCAAAGACCACCCTGCTAAAGCAACAACTGGACATCACTGTCCTGCAGATAATTGAGATGCAGCCCAGACCTTAATCTTGTTTCAACAGTGTAAACATGAAAAATTCCTTGAACAAATCATGGATGACTGCAGTTCATCTTTTTATGATGCATTACAAAATAAAAACTCCAAACAGAGCACTTTTGAAAAAAGACAAAGGCTGAGAAGCTAAGAAACATGGAAGGTGGTCTGTGGTGTCACAGCAAGCTTCCCTAAACAATTTCTTAGGCCCTGGATGCTCCCCAGAGAACAGGCAGATATCATACTGCTCCCAGCCCCATGAGTTGCTTGATGCAATGTCTTTCTGTGCATACATGAGCATGAAGGTAAGGCAGGGTTGTCTGTGATTCTCACCCTGTCCACAGTCTTCCCCAGATCCTTGGAGCTGTCGGGAGTCATCAGAGGCCACTGCTTTCCTCTCTCAGTCCTTCGATCAGCAGGAGCAGCTGCATGGTCTCCATGCATGTACTGTGCTCCTGGCTTCCCTGCAGCTGTTTTGCCCTATACCCAGGAGGCAGGACCTGCCTGCTTTCACGGCACAAAGATCCCAGCATGGTGTGCAACACTCTGTTTGCATGGAGCTGAATGGACTGTACTCAGTATTGTCATTAGTCATCCTGACTGTCATTTGAATGTGAGGAAGCTTTGTCCCAAAGGAGCGCGCTCTCCGAAAAGGACATGTCTGTCCTCAAACCCAGAACCTAAGCCACCAACACCCAGATCCCTTCAGGTCACAGGGTTGTACCTTCCATTCATGGGGAAGTTGGTAAGCTCACACTGAAATGCCAATAAAGGAGGCTTGCCTGCCTTCCTAGTAATGTGTGGCTTGGTCTCTGTGACTGTTCTATCAGATCCTGGCACCAACTATTCCTGTACACAGTGGAGCTACAGGGAGACACTGGTGTATTCCTGAGATGTATTACCTCCAAGTTGACAGTTGTTTAAAACCAAGCAAAATAAAAAAGGAAAAGTGAAGTTGTAAGGTTCATTGAGAGCTCCTCTGTTCAGAAAGAGTCTCAGTGTTACCCACTACATAAACTGTGACTGATCCATGCAGGGGAACAACACTCAGCCATGAAGAGAAAGAAGTTCCGACCCAAGGGTTGTGGGCTATGGCGCCAAAGGGGAAGGAAGGGCTGGGGTGTATCAAGGGAGAAGGATGGATGAGAGGCACATGAGTCTACCTGGATCTCTGAGAAGGAAAAGGAAAGATGTCCTGAGGGTCCTGAAGATGCCTCGATCATTAACTTTCTTTGGCAGAAATAGATATCATCCTCACTGTGGCTGAACACCATCATAGCTGATCCCGGAAGAAATGTGGGGATGGAGTTAATGACCCTCCATAGGACTGCCTCAGCTCTATGAATCCAGGTGCTCATGAACACTCAGCAGACCTAAACTGGGTACAAATCCTGGGAGCTGAGAGGATTCCATGCCTCTACCTGAACACACGTGCTGAGAGAGAGCATAGACAAGGCAATGTTGCCACCATTGCCCACAGATTGAGCAGGAAGGGGACATCAAAGTCTCAGGACAAGGAGAGTCCCTGAAAGTGGGAGGGTTGAAACAGTTGGACTGCACAAGTCAACCAAATTTGGAGGCAGATAACCATTGTTCATTTTCTTAGGGTCTTCTGGAAGGAATAAAGAGGCCAGTAAGGTGCTGGACAAGAATGTGACACTCATGGACACTTCTGAGAACCACTTTGGAAGCTGCCTATGATAGAAGAATCCATGACATTATGGGGCTCTCACTGGCCTTGTGCTATGGAAGTCTTTGTGTAGAAGCTTCTTTTGGGAAGAGGTCTTAAGAATCTGTGATCTCAGCGAACGCAGAGATAACTGAGCAGGTAAGAGCAATGGCTACTTTTCCAGATGACCCAGGTTCAATTCTTAGCACCCACATGGTAACTCAAAACTATCTATAACTCCAGGTCCAGGTGTGGTGGCACATGCCTTTAATGACAGTACTTTGTGGACAGAGGCATGTGGATCTCAGCCCATCTGGTCTATAGAGGAAGTTCCAGGATAGCCAGAGCTAAACAGATGAACCTTGTCTCCAAAAACCAAAAAAAGAAAAGAAAAGAAAAAACCATCTCTGATCTCTTACATATTGCCATGTTACAGATCAGTCTTAGGTCTAGTCACTTCTTCTGGAGGATTTGGCACCAAACACAGAAACAACCCAGCCTCTAAGTCAAGCCAATTCATCAGATCCACCATCTCAGATCCCTTCCTCTAAATGGACCCCACACTTCAGTTCTGTCCAGCAGAAAGATGATGCCAATGGACAAACCATGCTGGGCCCAGGATGCCCAGGGTAAGTGCCTGCAGGCCAGGTGACTATGCTTGGTGGAAGGCCATCTTGATGGCCAGAGGTGATCATGGGAAGGAGATGAAGAATAATCATCACAAAAAGTCAGAGCCAGTGAAGGCCAGGCACACGATGCTTCCACAAGAATGGCAGGTACATGTAGTACTGTAGGAACCATTGCATATGGAGGACTTCAGGACCCTCCTCAGAGAAGAAACAGATTGCATGGCCCAAGAATTCTGTATGTGATACCTCCAATGTCCCAAGGGGGCCAGGCATCCTGAACCAACCCTGCCAATATCTGTGGGCCCAGGAAGTGCAAGGTCATGATGGAGTTACTCTGGTACCCAAGGAAGTTCGGTTGATACCTGCTCGCTAGGAGAAAGGTGCCCATCATCACAGTGGTCTTCCCATACAGCTCAGTGTGAACCTCAGGACGATTTTGGGAAAGACACTCACCTAATTTGTATTAAACAACACACCCCTATCTTAAAGCTCCTACTAAAATTCTTAGTTATCATCTGTGGAAGCAAACTCCTATTCCTAGAGCAATGTCTAATTACCATTTGGGCAGCAGAGGGAAAGCCTCTGCAGGAAACAGTGTTCATGAGTGATACAAAAGTAAGTCAGGCATCCAGGCCTAGAGTCAGTCTCCAATAAGATCAGATAAAGAAAAGGATGCCTTCTGCCAAGGGGAGTCCTGCATGTTGTCAAGCTAGTAAAGAGCAGCCAGACCACGGTAGACTGCGACATCTAACTAGCAGGGTCACGCAGCAATGAGCCGCCTCCAGATACATAGGACTTTGTCAAGGAGGACTGCATAGACTAGTCACACCATTGTCCATTTTTCAAGAGGAGTGCCTAATGTCATCCTGGCCCTATCATGAGCCAGTACACTAATGGATGGTGCCATCCCCATTACTGCCATGGTCACCAGGTGATCACCACCTGCCAGTAAGTTATATGAGCACCTCACTTCTGGTCACACACTCTTCCCACCACACCCGTCATCTGGATATGAGAGGACACAGCAGAAGTCACTAAAGGTGCCCGGGGTAGAGCAGCTTCTCGAGAACCCATGCACCCAACACTTTCTGACCTTTGCCCAGAAAAAAACCACCATGAGAACCAGAAGAGGCTGGGAGGACCCATACATCCTACCAAGTTTTCTGCTTCTCCTCCTCTAAAAATAACCACCAAGTCTCCGGGCCATGTGAGAGCATCCTGCCTAGTCCCCTCACCAGCCACAGCATGGAAAGACACCAGGGAGATGATGAAGTTCTTTAATGGGAAGCAGGGGAGTAGGGAACAGAGGGAAGGGATGGGTGAAGCCAGGACAGAGAGGGGGCGCTCCTTCTGCGTCCCTTGCTCAGATGGCCTGGGTGGAGCAATGCTGTGAGGCAGGCCTGGACCCATGAGTCACTGCTGTGGAAAGGAGGAGGGTCAGTGCAGACAACATGATTCATGAGGGGAAATGTTGGGATGGCAGGGGCCAGACTCACCAGGTATAGACAGTGCAAAGGTCGTTCTACCCCTCTTCCCCCCAAAAGGAGTCCCACAATTCTCCATGACCATGTACAAAGAAGGGACAGGTGACTTCAGGGCAACCACACAACCAAGGGAGGACGAGGATGCGGCTGGACTCAGGGGTTTCCCACACCAAGTCAATTGGCCTCTGGTGGTTCTCTGAACTACATCTCCCAACCATCACACGGCAAAGAGGGACCCAGCAAGGCTGCTGGACCCCAGGCATGGCTGCCACATCCTTTAAAGCAATCCATGTCATAAATGGAGTCAACATGGTAACCCAGGGAAAGGGAGGGGCAAGGGAAGAATGTCCCTTCTGCAGGGAGCTTCAGGGAACACCACAGAGAGGCTTTCTCTCCACTGCAAAGCAACTGCACAGTATCAGTGAGGGCAGGTTCCTGGTGTCCAGGACAGAACACCCAGGAAGGAATCCTGATCAAAATACCCACAGGAGGAGTGCATTCCAAGAACACAGGTTGTGCCTGTCTGCACAGGTAGGGAAGGTTAGAACACAGGGTCTCCTGAAGCTCTGTTCACCCCAGGACCATATTTCCTCAAATGTCTCCCATACTAGCCACTTACCCTAATTGCCTCTTAGAGAGCAGGTTTCTGTCAGAGAAATAAAACACATGATTCATGAGAGGCAGGGAATTTGGACAGAACACCAAGGCCCCTCCCATCAGCCAGCATGTCCCCAGCCCCAAAGGACAAAGCTGGATGAGAGACAGCCTGTTGTCCTGAGCGACTAGCTGGCTTCCCAGCATGGGGAGCGGAACATGGGAGCTTGCTTCCTACCACTCTGCTTGGGGATGAAGATCTTCTCTGCATTGAGGCCTGCAACTCTCGCAGCATTCCGGAAATCTTCCAGGGCCTCCTGGTTGATGTCAGGGTCTCTGCCTATAGGTGAGGCCAGGAGGAACATGGTGTCAGGAACAGAGCTGAGGGAGCCGATAGAATTTCCTTCCCAGCTCAGAGGACTAAGCAACTTTGGGGTGAAGAGTGAGACATTGCCCACTCACGAGGGAACATGACCCAGAAGCCTGTGAGAGAGGAGAGTCCAGAGAAAGGAGGACCAGAACACCATGTTCTCCCCTCCATAACTTCTGAACAACAAGACACAGGGGCATAGTGCCTTCATCTTAACTGAGTTTCTCTCAGGCAGTTGGGAACAGTGTGACCAATCCCCTTCTGGAGGAATATGTCACCCTTGGCTGAGGCTCCATGTTGTCTCTGTGCCTATGTGGACAAGTACCCAGCCGCGGGGAGACCTCAGAGGCTCTGAGGCCTTTGTCTCCAGGCAAGGAGGACAATGGTACTGCTGTGATTGGGGCTGGTCTTCATGTGAGGGTTCCTGTGTCTAAAGCCATCCTTCTTGCACCTGGAACCCCAACGGTAGCGAACCCCCTCCCCCATGAACCCTTGGCCCACCTCACAACAATGGGACTCACCTAGGAGCTTTGCCAATCGGAATTGAAATGCGTGATTTTTGCTCTCCCAGTTGAAAATGTAGTGGTCCTTCACTGCAGATGGCATGACGTAGAGCACGTGAGTGCCCCCATCTGTGGAGGTACAATGACACAGATCCTGAATAAGCCTTCCTGGCCTTTCTTCCTTTGATGGTGAACAATGATGTGGAAATACAAACAACATAAGCCCTTTCCTCCACTTGCTTTTTGTCACTGTGTTGCATCACAGCAACAGTGACCCTAGGACAACAGTCAGGTGTCTTCTAGGGACAAGTCAGCCACACCTGATGCAGGGTTTGGGGTCAGCTGTTCCTATGTGTAAGGAAAACTGCCTCATGAGAGTGACTGGGTCTTAGCAGGGTTAGAAGAAGTAAAGGTTCTCAGGCCCTGGGGCACCCTGGGACAGCCACACTGGCCTCACAGGTATCATGGCAGGTTGGGTACAGCCCTCTCAGGGTTAGGGACTCACCAACTGTGTATTTGTCAGGTTTATCTGTCTTCTCTAGGACAAAGCTCACCTCTCGGCACCGATCTACAATCCTGGAAAACAGAAGGTCTGTGAGACACACTGCCCAGCCACACACCTCCCCTCCTGGCAGCACCCATAGCATGGCCCATATGCCTTGTTCCAAGGTGGCCAAGGAGTCCTAAGTGTGTTACCAGCAGGTCTCCTGAGTCACATGTTCTAGTCCCCTGAATCCTGCAGTTCTCCAGTTCTGTGTCATGCCATGTGCTGCCTGCACTCTGATAGCCTCTTCTCATTCCCTTGGGGAACCTGGGCCACTTGGTGTGTAGACATTGTCTGAAGCAAACCCTCCCTTCCCATGTGGCTCCTGTGGCTCACCCTCTGTCCCTGGAGATATTTAGGGACCAGCCCCCAATCACTGTCACCTGGCCAGCTGAGGAAACTCTTCAGTGAGTGGGATTGGAGGAAAAGAACAAAGGGCAACTGCGAGGCCAGGGGGCGGCCCAAATTCCAGATCCCAATAAGACATCTCAGATACTGTCATGTTGTTCAGGGATCGCTGAAGTGACAGGAGCCCAAATGTGAGATCAGACACGAAGGTAGAAGCCACACAAATGGGAAGTCACACACGTGTGAGTCTACACAGAGAAGAGGTCACACACATGACAGGACACACAAGTGACTGGCCACACTGACGATAGATCACACAGGTGAGATTGGGCTAGAATTTCAGGGTCTGTGCAGAGCCCTATAAGATGTCTCCCTAGGTAATCTATTGAGCCTTGGGCAGCAGATCAGTACCCATCCCAAGTATACACACGGACTTTGGACTCCCATAGAACAATGTGAGGTGCACTCTCACACTGAACTCTTGGGGAAGGGTCTAGGCCCTGCCCTATATGAAATGACAGACTATGGACACCCCCATGGAGGGCCTCACCCTCCCTGGGGAATGAGGGGATAACGGGGGGGGGGGGAGGGGGAGGGCACGGGAGGAGGGGAGGGAAAGGGAGAGGGACCTGGAACTGACTTGTTTCTTATCTAAATTTAAACTGGAAAATAAAATAAAAAAACAGATGTCTCCCTAGGGCACTGCACATACTCGCGGTCACTTTGAAATTCTGCTTTCTGTCTCTCTCCCAAGAAGAATTTTACCTTGGAAGGTGAACAGGTCCAGACTGCATGTTCATGCTGGGTCTGGGAGTCCAACCCTTACCCAAGAGCCTGGGTCACTGACAAAGCATGTCCCATCAGAATAGAAAGTGGGTGCCCTTTTTCACCTGGGATGTTTTCTCTGAATTATCTACCATCCAGTGACCCTCTCTAGTCTGAGGCACCCTCATTGAAACTGTTAACCCCAAGATCCCAGCTCACCCACTGCACCCCACTCAGCCCCCAGCTCTCCTGTGTGGAGCAAGCTAAGGTCAAGAAGAATGATACCAACTTAGCTGTCACACTCACAGGGCAGTGAAGTTGACTTGCAGGTTGCCCCCTTCCAGGGCTGTGATGGTCATGGGAGTCACAGACACAGACTCAAGCTCTTCAGGAATCTCCTTGTCAGATGCTGTAGCTTTTATGTACCATGTTCCTGTCACCTGCAGAAAGCACTCCCCATCAGGGCTCAGGTAGACCCCAGGAGTGCTCCTAGTCCTTAGGCCCCACTTCTAGTTGGCTCCCACGTTCTGGACAAGTGAAACACTTCCCAGGCTCCCTTTCTATCAACCCATCAAATAAACAGTCTCCACCAGAGCCACAGCAATGTGGCCTTCACCTCTTGCAAGTGTGACACTGTCACAGATCCCTGGGCTCCTGGAGAGTAGTGAAGAGGGATGAACATGGACTCTGGAGTCCTCCAGCCCTCTGCACCCAGGCCCATCTGACCAGAATCTTCATGCTATGTCTGCCATTCCTTCAGAGCAGGGGCTAAAGCCTTACTCTAAAATGATGTCTCTTTAGATGAAGAAGGAATGGGGGCCCAACCACCAACCTCAACCCCCCTGTCTGCCATAAACCCCCTTGAAGCTCCTGCCCATGTCAGCCTCACATCTTGGATCTCTTCCGTGTCAGGGAATTCCTGGGCCTGCAGGACAGCAACAAGGCCAAAGCCAAAGCTCAGGAGCAGGGCCTTCATCTCCAGAGTCTGTGCTCACAGGCGTCCAACAAGTCACTCTGCAGGCTGAGAAAGCTGTGCTGGGACCTCACTCAGCTGCCCTTTATACTGCTCAGCCCAGGGTCATCTGGGAATTTGGCAAGGAGGGATGCCAGTCCCTTCCTGGCCACTCACCATGGCCAGGTCTTCAGTGGACCAGAAAAATGTCATCATTGTTGGAAGTTGGTAGGGAACACTCAAAGCCCAAAGGATAATAGAGCATGGCTTCTTGCAGATTTTCCCCTGGAAGCCAGTGAGTATGAATTGGAGGTGCAGCCTCCCATGTCAGGAGCCCCTGAGGGTGAGTAGATCTAACTCCTCCTGCACACACTGTGTGATCACCCAGCTGGCTGATAAGCTCTTTGACACAGAGGAGGCCACTGAAGCCAGACAGTCTTGTGCTGTGTTTTCAGGAACCTTCTTCAATCCCAGGGCAGGACACTGAACCTTAGATTCATCTTGGAAGAAAAGAAAAGTGGGAACCTGCTGTGTGACTGTTAAAATGTGTACTGGAAGATGTACCCCCTCCTCAGCAAGCCCATAGGCAGAGCGGTGATAGGTCAGACATGGAAAGAAATCAGGAAGGCTTGTGTGAGCACATATGTACACAGGCGCACATGTCCTCACAGTGAGCAGAGGGGCGGAATCACAGGCTGGAGCTGGAAAGGGGGCTCAGCTCTTGAGTCCTTTATGCTCTTGCAGAGGGCATGGGTTCATTTCCTATCACCCACATAGTGGCTCACAACCACCTGTAACTCCAGTTCCAAGGGATCCGATACTTTGTTCTTGCTTTCAGTTACTTGCATGCATGTGGTACATATGAACTCAAACAGGTTTACAGTCTGGTAAAGGGCCTAAGGCACATGAGCTCCTGTCTCTGAAGCTAGCAGATGGCCAGGGGTATTTTCTTAAGGAGCAATGAGCAACTTCCAGTTGACTTACTAGTTAGCAATAAATGTCAACTTGCTATGACCCAGAATCACCTGGGAAGAAAGTCTTAATTTGGGAATTATCTAAATCAGGTTTGCCTGTGGCCTTGTCTGTGGTATTGTCTTCTGGCAGCACCATTCGGTAGGCTGAGCCTGAAGTGTGTTGGTGATGAAATCTAGCATGGGTGCATTCATTTCTCCTTGCTCTTGACTGTGGTTGTGATGTGATTGTACTGCCTGGATTTTTCCTCCATAATGAACTATGACCTGGAATTGTAAGTCAAATAAACCCCTTATTCTCTTGGGGTTTTTTTCTATTTTGCTTTTGTTTTTTGTTTTGTTTTGTTTTTACTTTTTTCCCACTTTGTCTGCAACAAAACTTTCCTGTCTTAAGTTGATTTCTGTCAGGGTAATTGTAGCCTCGTAAAAAGGGTTTGGCTGTGAGTCTCCTGCTTCTATTGTGTGAAATACTAGGAGGAGTATTGGAGTTAACTCTTCTTTGAATTTCTGGTAGAATTCTGCACTGAAGCCATCTGGGCCTGGGCTTTTTTTGTTTGTTTGTTTGTTTGGGAGACTTTTGATAACTGCTTCTATTTCATTAAGGGTTATAGGTCTGTTTAGATTGTTTATCTGCTCTTGATTTAGTTTTGGCAAGTGATATCTATCCAGGAGATTGTCCATTTCCTTTAAATTTCTGTCAGGATATTTTATCAAAGCAATAGAAATGAAATCAGACTGTTCAGAATTCATTTTACCTCCTGGTTTTTGAGGGTTCACTTTGTGGTTTCTTCTTTCTTTTTTTTCTGAGACAGGGTTTCTCTGTGTAGCTTTGTAGACCAGGCTGGACTTGAGTTCACAGAGATCCACCTGCCTCTGCCTCCTGAGTGCTGGGATTAAAGACAAGCACCACCACCACCTGGCGCTACTCTGTGGTTTCTTGATCCCATGTGTTTAGCCTGAGCACCATGACAGTGGGAACTTACGGTAGGAGAGGCTTTCCAGCTCCTGAAAACAGGAAGCAGAGAACGTGAAGAAGAACTGGATGTATTCCTCAAAGATATCTTCTAGTAACCTCTTTCTTTTAACTAGGCCCATCTCCTACAGCTTCCAGACCCTTCTCAAATAGCATCAACACATAGGGACCAATATTATACCACATGAGCCTACAGAGGATACTTCATATTCAAACTCCTGAATCTCAAAGACCCATGAGTATGTCCTAATACAAAATGCATCCAAGAGACTTGATAGTGTTGTGGCTGTTGGAGCGTTCTTCAAAATCTGCAGTGCAAAATTCCTGTGAGAGTCAAGGCAAGCCCTTAGCTTTGTATCCCTATAAAAGAAAAACAGAAAATGGCATATTGCCAAAATAAAATAGTACAGAGGAGGCATCCCCATTCCCAAGGGGTCATAAGAAGGAACCGTGGAATCAAAGCAAGACTGAAACCAGAGGGGAAATCATTAAATCCTATAATCTATTCCCAGCTCTTGGGTCACACAGGGTGGCCATAGAAGCTCAGATAAGCCTGGGAAAACCAACCCCTAAGATATTGGCAGATACACCCTGGCTTGGAGATACCTCTCTTAGGCTGGTTTCGTTTGCTGTCTTTTTATCAAAAGACACTTTCTTTTGCTCCCTACATCTGTGAATTCCCAGGGTAAGCAATACATCATCGGCTTTGTCCTCACAGCTATGCTCTCAGGAGCTGCTTGCAGGAATCCTGAGCCTGCTGTTCATTGTCTGTACTCCTAGGACTTTCTCTGAAATCTGGGTGTAAGCCTCCATTTCTAGGTAACTTGGATTCTGCATGCCTACAAAAGCCCCATTGCATAGGCGGTTCCTGGTCCTTCCAACAGGACAGCAGATGGGTCCCCTTGGTAATGGCAGCATGAGTACCTGGGTTACTGAGGGAAATGGATCTAGGGAAACCTACTTCTGAGGCTGATCTATCCAAGTGAAGGAAATTCTTTCCAATGAATTTACTCTTCCGTGCCCTTGAGTCTGAAGTAAGTGGAGTCTCAGTTTACCATGGCATAGTTCCCACTGTCTCTATTAAAACTGCTTTTCAATGACTATTGTTTCTCAGAAACCGACTTTCTTGGCTGCAATTTTCCATGAGCTTCTAGGACTAAAGTACGATTTTTTCCAAGTATTTCTACCCTGCATTTTGCTCTTGATTCTCTCTGTGTGAACCTGACCAGCAGTAGCCATGCCATAACCCCAATGCTGGGCTGCCTTGAAATTTCCTCTACTATATTAATTAATCACGTAAGCCTTTCCCAAAGACCTGAGACATGAGCAAACAAGTTCTCTCCCACAGTGTAATATACATCACCTGAACCCAGTTCCCAATAAAATCTTACATTCTCACAAGATCACTCCTCACACTTGTATCATAGAATCCTAGGGATTCTCTACCCATCATCTCCAAATTTGTCCAGATTTCTCCCACAAACTAGTTCCAAAGGTTTCTGAACCCCATTTCAGGCAGTCACAGCAACAACCCTACTCTGATATTATTTTTTGAAAATATCCTAGGAGGCTGAAGAGATGGCTCACAGATTAAGAGCACTGGCTGCTCTTCTAGAAGTCCTGAGTTCAATTCCCTGCAACCACACAGTCATCTGTAACGGGATCTGGTGCCCTCTTCTGCTGTGCAGGCATACCTGCAGGCAGAACACTGTATATGTATACATTAAATAAATAAATACATAAATCTGCTTTTAATCTTAAATTTTTATTACATTGTTTAGTGTATGCGTGCATGTGCACACACATTTACACCATGAGTGCTTGTGGAAGTCAGAAGATAACTTGGAGAGGTTCACTCCTGACATGTAGGCCCCAGTGACCCAACTCAGCTTGTCAGCCTTGATGGCAGAGAACTTCACCATCCCACCAGCCCCTGGTCTACACAACCTAAAGGAAGTTAGGGTACATGAGGCTCCTTGTTTCAGAGATTTCCGTCTGTCATGGCAGAGGGCAGAGCAAAGCAGCCTAGTTGCATTGTGAAGGAAATATACTAAGAAACTCTTGGCTTCTCCTTTCTCAGGACTATTTTATCTCCCCCCCGGGGTCCCAGGCTGAGGGATAAGATCATCTTCTTTGACGGTGTCCCCCTAACCTTAATCTTCTTTGGAATCCTTAAAGACACACTCATCGTCACGTTTTACTAATGTCCTGAGCCCTTCTCCATCTAATCCAATCTACAGGCAGGATTCACAATTGCTCTGGGCCTACATGTTAGGTTATGAGAATATCTTCAGAGATGGCTTATAGAGTCCTTTCCCAATGCCAAGTGATTTTTTAAACCATCTGCCAGTCTACCACAGGGGCCTTCTGTGGCTGAGGGCCTAAGTATCTGCTGAGCTCTAATAACAATGATAGAAAGCTCTGGCTTCCAGTGGCACACAGAAAAGGTGTGCTTATTGCTCGAACTTGTGGATTTCGTGAATATTCTTGGTACCCTGTAGGCCAAGCAAGAATTGAAGGCACAAAGCCAGATCCCAAGCTTCAGTTCCTCTCAGAATGCTTATGTCAGTCAAAGTCAGCATGACACGGACATGAAGCCAGCTCTCCGGTGATGCAGAAAATGGAACAATTGTCTGATACCCACTTCCCCATAGAGGAGCCAAGCCAGCGGAAGCCAGCATGGCATGGATGTGAGGCTGGCTCTCCACAGGTACAGATAACTGTGTAATGGAGACTCACTTCCCTGTAGAAGGGCCAAGCCAGCTGAGGCCCGAATGACAGGGATCTGAGGCTGGCTCTCACGGAAAGCCCTGCACAGTTGTTTGGGCGAGGACTTCCACAGTGTGATGCGCGTGTCTTTTGCTGATGTTTGAAAGGTCAGTCGCTACAGCTTTAAAGACACGTCCCGTAGCCTGCCACGGCTCCTTGCTTAGGGCTGGCGTCGGCAGTGGCGCTGCCTATGACGGTACAGGTGGCCATTCTGAGCTCTGCGTCTCCCCCGACTCCTCACTGTCCTGTGCCTCCCTTTCCCTGACATCCACGTCACACTAACTGTTCCCTGTCGAGGTACAGCCGTCCTCTGACACACAGGCTCCATACAGGGCACTGCTTGCCTCACAAGCTTAGCCCAAAGCCTGAGACCTGCTCTCTGGGCCGGAATCTAGGTATTGGGCCAGTTTTCGGGATGCCAGATGGGACCTGGATGTTTCCTGACTCTGTTCGGGGTTCTCAGATATCCCGTGTGTTTCTCTTTGTCTTTCTGGTCATCCCCACGATAGACAGAGGGGCAGGTCACTGTGTGTCAGTTAGAGCCTCCCTGTAGATGGGAGAGTATCATTATTCATGAGGACGCTGGCCTGTGTGGGAGGGAGGAGAGAAGAAATGGATTCTAGGCAGCCACCAACAGTGCCACCATCGGCCCCAAAGAGCCCCTGCTTCCTGCACTTACACAATCCCAATATGCACACGGGCTGAGTACTTCTGTGTATGTCTCATTCAAGGGTCAACAAGATGCCGGGAAACTCCAGAGTGTACACAGTAAGTGAAGGGCAGAAACCAGTGGTCCTGGAGGGAGTGGGGAGCAAAGAGATCAGCAAGGAACTGCAATAGAAAAGTAAATTGTTCCCAATGAACCACATGTTCCATCGTGACCCAGCTCTGTCTCAGGGGAGAGTTTGGAGTGTGTCAGGTTTATAAACAACTTCGCTTTCTCTTAAAAATCTAAAAGTATCTATAATACAAATTATATATATACATATATATATAAAACATAAACAGTACTTTCTGTGTTTGTTTGTACAAGTCACTAGGAAATCTGGAATTCCAACAATGAGAACTGAAAGTTGTCTACGTGTCCCTCACTATATGACAGGCAGCCGTCCCATGAGCACCTTGGCTTATGGGGAATCACTTGGTAGATGGTCACAACTCAGGGCTCACAAAATCAGAAGAGAGAGGTGGTCTCAAAAGATGGGACAATTCAGACCCTGGGTGTGGGGTGGGGCAAGTGTGTAGGGGGCAGTAGGAACCTCTGTTGTGCTTAGTGCCTGGATGCCTCCAGAATGAGGACATGGAGCCCACCGTGGAAGGCATGGGACAGGAGATCTGCATGGCAGCATCTGTCAAGCGTCAAGTCTCCTCTGTGTGCTGATCAAGTGGTGAATCTGGAGTCTGGTTAGCCTCTGGGTGGACCAGCACCTCCCTCACTGTTTTCAAACTTCCCTTCCCTTTTTTTTTTTTTTTGAGAAAAGGGGTCCCCTCCTCTTCCATAGGCCTATCTAGACAAATCACCACACTGACACATTCACGGGGCTTCCTGGTGTTGTCTGGGCACTGGCTCAGGTAGCAGGATACACAAGGTAGGCTTCTTCCCTAAGACTCATGGTCTGCCGGGCTCTCCTTGGCCGCCTCCATCCCCCACAGAATAGTTATCTGTGTGTAGAGGTGGGATGGCCAGATAGGAAGAGGCCTGGGTCAGGCTCCCTGAGCCTCAGTTTCCCAGGAGATACCCTTGAGAGGCTCAATGTTGCTTTCTTGGTGGCTCCTTCCCTGCCCCCTCCCTTTGGTTCTCTCTCCTTACTCCTAAGGACTTGGGTGTCTCCCTGGTTATAACACTTTGAGGTAGGGTAGTTATTAAGCTGGAACTTCAGGAAACCAAGGAAGGGAAGGACTGTGTGCATTTCCAAGTGAAGTCCCCCCCCTCCACTCGTTTGCAGGGCTTGGATGGCCAAAGGGTCAGGTTGACCCCACTGGGGATTCTGGCTAAGGTGCCCAGCCTCCTAGAACAGAGTGTTAAGTGAGGCGCCAGCATAAGGTCCCCAGGGTGAGGCTGGCACCGCTTCCCCTGGCCACATCCAAGGACATTACTTGGCTTTTGGGTGAAGTAACATCCAGAGTCACTCTCCCACTTGTGTGACATTTACTGTGACACGGCACAAGCCATTCTATAAAGTGTCCTATGTTCAGATTAGCCACGGCCTAGGAGGAAGTGGAGGAGAAAGAGCCAGAAAGCAAACAGCCTTTCCCTGAACACAACTCCCTCTGTACACAAACACGATCTGGCCTCTGGACCCCACCCTCAGCTTTGGAGCCAAGTGCAGATCCCATCCCCTCAGCCACCTGCAACTCAGTCCAGAGAAGTCCAAACAGCATTTACTGAGCCTCCTCCCGGAAAGATGGGGGGGTCTAGGGGCTGGTCCTGACCCTGCCCACGTGGCAGTGCCTCTTGGGACCGGAAGCAAGACCTGTGATGGAGACAGGGGTGTGGTGGGGAAATAGATGGGACTGGTCCTGGCTCTAAGCCCCCTGAAGATTGGGTAGCCAGGCCCTTCCTGACTCCGGAGACTGTCTGTGCTAGACAACGTGTTAGGAGTGGCAGAGAGCTGCAGAAAGTCATAGAGAGACACACACAGTTGACATGACTGTCAGACACGCTTTCAGGACTCTGAACTCCTCCAGGGACAGGCAGGAAACAAGACACCTGATAGAGACACTGTCACAGACTGCCCAGTGGAGTTAGGAACCCAGAGGACCTTGAGAAGTAGAATGATAGCCGATCGTGTTTAGCTTGCTCTCAGTCCTGTGCGGCCACCCGTCAACTGCAGAATTAAGAGCAGCCGTCAGCTAGGTCCCTGAAGTCCATTTGAGGCTTCCTGGGGGTAAACTGTGTCTGAGAAGGAGAACAAGGTCTTTACCCTTGGACTGGCATGACTTGTTCTCAGCAATTCAAGATTTCTTGTTCAAAGCCTGTCCTATCAGCCACTGTGTATGTCTGATGTTGGGGAGTGGGGACTCTGTCACAACCCCCCACACACAATGAGTCTCTGATCCTTTGCTGCCCTCTGTGGCTTTGGGACATTAGCTTTTTAAAAGCCATTAAACACAACGCATGGAGGGGCTGGAGAGATGGCTCAGCAGTTAAGAGCACTTGTTGATCTTTCAGAGGACCGGGGTGTGACTCCCAGACTCCCAGCAACTCATAACTACATGTAGCACCAGATCTGATATCTCTGCAGCACCAGGCACGTATGTGGCTACACGTATACACATGTAGGCAGACACTCATAAAAATAAGTGAATTCTAAAAAGAAAGCTTAGAGTTCCAACAAACAGGACAACATGGGTGGGTCCTTTCTACTAACTTACGTAACCTGGCTAACCTCTTTGAAACTCCTTCTGCCCTCTGACCACCACTCCTTGATTCTGGCTTCCTACAGAACTGACATCACACTGTTTCCTGTAAGTAGAAGAAAACTGCTTCAGTCTTTGCTCTTCTATGGAGTTCAAATCAAATTTATTTCTCATCATCCACTGAGAGGATGAGGGAAGCATTTAGCTCCCGGCACAGACGTCCTTGTGAGTTCTGCCAGTAAATAAGAGACGTGGCCACTCTATTTCATAACATACCATCAGCCTGAGGCCATACAGTGAGATCCTCCTGTGGTTCAAGCTCCAATGCCCTTACGATAGGGTACCTGGTGTTCTGGCACAAAACCTGTTAGAAATGCTCCCGGAAGCTGAGAACATTTGGTAAAGATGGCTGTAAAATGATATGGCTGTTGGTTTTCACCCACCCTGTTACCTACAAATCTACACCACAGAGACAGATGGCTGTGGCAAATCGTGTGGGAAATGGATCCCTTGCTTGTTAGTGGAAGGGCCCACATGGGAGCAGTCTGGAGTCTGTAAGAGGCAACAGAACCTGGGGTCTCAGGTCTTTCTCCTCAGCACAGCAAGCTCACAGATGAGGACTCTCTTGCCACCTCCTCTTATCAACACTCATCACCCTGTGTCTGCCTCGGGGCTCTGAGATCTTGCCAGTCTTTTGTGTCAATTTGTCTACGCAAGGGGTCGCATTTTTGGGTATCCTCTTATCTCACTCACCTTCTCGCTAATTTTGTCCCTTCACTCCCATCTCTCTGGATTTTTCCAAATCGTGGGTAGAAAATTCTCCATGTACTTTGCCACCTGTCATAGACTGGCTTGTCCCAGTCCCTCCCTGCCCTGGACGCTGTACCTGTATCTTCCCTTATCTCAGATCCCGGAGGGGAGGAGGGAACTATCAGGAAGGGCTGCCCACCCCTCTTTTGCAGTCAGGGAGACTATTTCTCACTCCTCCAAAGACAGACCTTGCTGTGCTGGCCAGTTTTATGTCAACTAGACACAAACTAGAGTCACTGGAGAAAAAGGAACCTCAATTGAGAAAATGTTTCCATAAGCTCCGGCTGCAGGCGAGCCAGTGGGGCATTTTCCTAATTCATGATCAATGGGGGAGTGGCCAGCCCATTGGAGGCGGGGCCATCCCTGGGTGGGAGGTCTTGGGTTCTGTAGGATAACAGGCTAAGTACTTACCTGAACGGGTGGGGGAGTACAATGATCACGAAGGTGGTTTTCTCAGGGCAAAGCTGATGTGTTGCACTCTGGATGTACTGATCCCTATGATATCCCCAAATTAGGGTAGCTCAGCTGCATAATGTGTGGTAGTGTGGGACTACATTCATTCTTTCCCCTGGAAAAAAAGAGAAGAAAAAAATAGGTTGAACACGCCATGTGGAACAAGGCAGTAAGCAGCATCCCTTCATGGCCTCTGCATCAGCTCCTGCCTCCAGGCTCCTGTCCTGACTTCCTTGGTGATGAGCAGTGACGTAGAGGTGTAAGCCAAACAAACCCTCTCCTTCCCAAATAGCTTTTGGTCTTGGTGTTTCATCAAAGTAATAGTAACCCTAGCTAAGACAGCAGTTGGTACCAAGATTATGACGATGTTGCTGTGATAGACCTGACCATGTGTTTTGGGGAGGATTGTGGTAAGACTTTGGAACTCTGGGCTAGAAAAGTCATTGAGTATTCAAAATTAGTGATATGTTCTGTGGGAGCTTGGAAAATAAGAATTCTAAGAGCAGTGCAGCGGATGGAGGCCTGGCTTCTGAAGTTTCAAAGGGAGGCAAAGACTCCACTAGACCATTTGTGTGAAGATTCTGCGGTGTCTGGTCAGGTGTAGCTGAGAAATCAGCAGTGAGTTAGAAGAAAGCAGCATCACTGAGGTGAAGTCTTCTGGGAAGTGTTTCCACAGTCAGCACACACAGCTGTGTTTCAGAGGTAACTCAGCTTGTACCTCACGCTGGCAGCCAGACTTGGTAGTGAAAGAGTCGCCCTGGAATACTACTTCTCAAGGCGTCATAGAGACCCGCACAATGTGGCAGGACTGGGGTCCTGAAGAGAGCTCAGGGGAGGCTGTTGGTGAAGGGGCAACCCAGTTACAACAGAAGATGCAGCATTTTGGAGATGACCACCAAGAACAGCAAGAGCAGCAGCGGAGTGGAGCCAGCTGGAACCTAGAAGACAAGCCATGTGTGCTGCAGAGAGCAGAGCCGGAGGAGTGACCCAAGCCCTTTAGAGGAGCCCAGAAGATTGTGAGTGGATCCCAGACATTGGACACTGAGTTGTTCACACAAGTGGAGTTTCATTTTTCCTGTATCAGACTGACCCATAGTATTTCCCGCTTCAAGTGAAAGAGTGTTTAACTTATATTTTACTTGCAGATAAACAAAAAAGGAAAGGTTGTGGCTTCACAGTGATATGTTTGTGTGTCAAGTTGACAAGCGGTCAATAGTGCTGGCTAGTTTTATGTCAACTTGACACAAGCTGGAGTCACTGAAGAGAAGAGAGTCTCAATTGAGAAAATGCCTCCAAAAGATCAGGTTGTAGGCCACCCTGCACTTGTAGGTCATTTTTGTGAGTAGTGATTGTCAGGGAAACACCAAGCCCATTGTAGATGAGGCAACCCTGGGCTGGAGGTACTGTGTTTGGTAAGGAAGCAAGCTGGGTTAAGTGATGCTGAGCAAGCCCATAAACAGTATCCTCCATGGCCTCTGCATCCGCTCCTGCACCCAGGTTCCTGTCCTGCCTGAGTTCCTGTCCTGACTTCCGTCAATGATGACTAGAGTGATACTGAAGTATAAACCATATAAAACCTTTTCTCTCTAAGTTATGGGATTGCATTCAGCAATGCTAACCATGACTAGGACAACTGTCCTCCCATCCTAGAGGCCATATGCAGTGGCAACCTATGTTTGTTTGTTTGTTTTGTTTTCTGTTGTCATTTTTCACTGATTTTTTATCAATACCTGCATGAACCAACATGTAGTCCACTGGAAGACTTTAAACAACTTTTAACTGCTGAGGACCTTTACAACTCCAGCCTGTGATTCCGCCCCTCTGCTCATTGTGAGGACATGTGCGCCTGTGTACATATGTGCTCACACAAGCCTTCCTGATTTCTTTCCATGTCTGAACCATCATGGCTCTGCCTATGGACTTGCTGAGGAGGAGACGCATTCTTAAAGACACATTTTGAAAGTCACGCAGCAGATTCCCACTTTTCTTTTCTTCCAAGATGAATCTAAGGTTCAGTGACCTGCCCTGGGATTGAAGAAGGTTCCTGAAAACACAGCACAAGACTGTCTGGCTTCAGTGGCCTCCTCTGTGTCAAAGAGCTTATCAGCCAGCTGGGTGATCACACAGTGTGTGCAAGAGGAGTTAGATCTACTCACCCTTAGGGGCTCCTGACATGGGAGGCTGCACCTCCAATTCATACTCACTGTCTTCCAGGGGAAAATCTGCAAGAAGCCATGCTCTATTATCCTTTGGGCTATGAGTGTTCTCTACCAACTTCCAACAATGATGACATTTTTTCTGGTCCACTGAAGACCTGGCCATGGTGAGTGGCCAGGAAGGGACTGGCATCCCTCCTTGCCAAATTCCCAGATGACCCTGGGCTGAGCAGTATAAAGGGCAGCTGAGTGAGGTCCCAGCACAGCTTTCTCAGCCTGCAGAGTGACTTGTTGGACGCCTGTGAGCACAGACTCTGGAGATGAAGGCCCTGCTCCTGAGCTTTGGCTTTGGCCTTGTTGCTGTCCTGCAGGCCCAGGAATTCCCTGACACGGAAGAGATCCAAGATGTGAGGCTGACATGGGCAGGAGCTTCAAGGGGGTTTATGGCAGACAGGGGGTTGAGGTTGGTGGTTGGGCCCCCATTCCTTCTTCATCTAAAGAGACATCATTTTAGAGTAAGGCTTTAGCCCCTGCTCTGAAGGAATGGCAGACATAGCATGAAGATTCTGGTCAGATGGGCCTGGGTGCAGAGGGCTGGAGGACTCCAGAGTCCATGTTCATCCCTCTTCACTACTCTCCAGGAGCCCAGGGATCTGTGACAGTGTCACACTTGCAAGAGGTGAAGGCCACATTGCTGTGGCTCTGGTGGAGACTGTTTATTTGATGGGTTGATAGAAAGGGAGCCTGGGAAGTGTTTCACTTGTCCAGAACGTGGGAGCCAACTAGAAGTGGGGCCTAAGGACTAGGAGCACTCCTGGGGTCTACCTGAGCCCTGATGGGGAGTGCTTTCTGCAGGTGACAGGAACATGGTACATAAAAGCTACAGCATCTGACAAGGAGATTCCTGAAAACCTCCGGATTGTGTCTGTGACTCCCATGACCATCACAGCCCTGGAAGGGGGCAACCTGCAAGTCAACTTCACTGCCCTGTGAGTGTGACAGCTAAGTTGGTATCATTCTTCTTGACCTTAGCTTGCTCCACACAGGAGAGCTGGGGGCTGAGTGGGGTGCAGAGGGTGAGCTGGGGTCTTGGGGTTAACAGTTTCAATGAGGGTGCCTCAGACTAGAGAGGGTCACTGGATGGTAGGTAATTCAGAGAAAACATCCCAGGTGAAAAAGGGCACCCACTTTCTATTCTGATGGGACATGCTTTGTCAGTGACCCAGGCTCTTGGGTAAGGGTTGGACTCCCAGACCCAGCATGAACATGCAATCTGGACCTGTTCACCTCCCAATGTAAAATTCTTCTTGGGAGAGAGACAGAAAGCAGAATTTCAAAGTGACCGAGAGTATGTGCAGTGCCCTAGGGAGACATCTTATAGGGCTCTACACAGACCCTGAAATTCTAGCCCAATCTCACCTGTGTGATCTATCGTCAGTATGGCTAATCACTTGTGTGTCCTGTCATGTGTGTGACCTCCTCTTTGTGTAGACTCACACATGTGTGACTTCCCATTTGTGTGGCTTCTACCTTCGTGTCTGATCTCACATTTGGGCTCCTGTCACTTCAGTGACCCCTGAGCAACATGACAGTATCTGAGATGTCTTATTGGGATCTGGAATTTGGGCCGCCCCCTGGCCTCGCAGTTACCCCGGGATCTCCCCTTTGTTCTTTTCTTCCAATCCCACTCACTGAAGAGTTTCCTCAGCTGGCCAGGTGACAGTGATTGGGGGCTGGTCCCTAAATATCTCCAGGGACAGAGGGTGAGCCACAGGAGCCACATGGCATGGAAGTTGGGAAGGGAGGGTTTGCTTCAGACAATGTCTACACACCAAGTGGCCCAGGTTCTCCAAGGGAATGAGAAGAGGCTATCAGAATGCAGGCAGCACATGGCATGACACAGAACTGGAGAACTTCAGGATTCAGGGGACTAGAACATGTGACTCAGGAGACCTGCAGTAACACACTTAGGACTCCTTGGCCACCTTGGAACAAGGCATATAGGCCATGCTATGGGTGCTGCCAAGAGGGGAGGTGTGTGGCTGGGCAGTGTGTCTCACAGATTTTGTGTCTTCCAGGATTAAAGGACACTGCAGAAAGATGAGCTTTGTCCTAGAGAAGACAAATAAACCTGACAAATACACAGCTGGTGAGTCCCTAACCCTGAGAGGGCTGTACCCAACCAGCCAGGATACCTGTGAGGCCAGTGTGGTTGTCCCAGGGTGCCCCAGGGCCTGAGAACCTTTACTTCTTCTAACCCTGCTAAGACCCAGTCACTCTCATGAAGCAGTTTTCCTTACACATAGGAACAGCTGACCCCAAACCCTGCATCAGGTGTGGCTGACTTGTCCCTAGAAGAGAACTGGCTGTTGCCTTAGGGTCACTGTTGCTGTGATGCAACACAGTGACAAAAAGCAAGTGGAGGAAAGGGCTTATGTTGTTTGTATTTCCACATCATTGTTCACCATCAAAGGAAGAAAGGACAGGAAGTCAAACAGGGCAGAAAATGGGAGTAAATGCAGGTGCCACAGAAGAGTGCTGCTTAATGGCTTGTTCTTCATTGCTTGATAGCTTGCTTTCCTATAGAGTTGGCGCCATGCACAATGGGATGGACCCTCTCCCATCAATCACTAATTACAATTCCCTACGAGCTTCCCCAGCCTGATCTCATGCAAGCCTTTCCCAATTGGGCTTTCCTCCTCTCTAATGACTGTAGCTTGAGTCAAGTTGACATAAGCCTAGTCCATACAACTGCCAGTGACGTCTCATTGGCTATGGCTGAACTTATGGAGGGAGTCAGGAGAGAGATGTGTTTAGCTCCAGAGGCAGATTCTTCCATTGGACACAAGGATTGAAACATGGCTACCGCCTCAGTGTGTGGCTCCCATGGACATGGAGGGTCCTTGTAACTGAGACTTCGGGATGGTGGAGAAGCTGGGTCAGTAAGACCTGAGCAAGTGTG